TATATATATATATATATATATATATATATATATATATATATATATATATATATATATATATATATATATATATATATATATATATATATATATATATATATATATATATATATATATATATATATATATATATATATATATATATATATATATATATATATATATATATATATATATATATATATATATATATATATATATATATATATATATATATATATATATATATATATATATATATATATATATATATATATATATATATATATATATATATATATATATATATATATATATATATATATATATATATATATATATATATGATCATATATGATATATATTTACCGGCAAGCAGCATGTATAGTTCACTCATGCGTGGCCGCAGGTTGATGGCGGCGCTCAGAAAGTGGAAAGCGGAAGCGAACTGCTGCATGGTGAGGTGAACCAAACCCAGATTATACAAAATCTTCCAGTCAAACGGAGACAGATAATTCGCTCTCTTCAGACAGCTGATGGCCTGAAATATCAAAAGATAAATATATATATGTACAATAAAGCTACATTTAAGCATTAGTTGTTGTAGTTATGGTGTGTAACTCACAGCGACGTATTTCTTTTTGCCGAAGAAGCACATGCCGATGTTATTCCAGAGAGGTGGGCTCTCGGGGACAGCGTATGCCGCCACACGATACTTGTTCATGGCCACGTCATAATCTCCATGAGTCTGCATCATACTGCCAGCCGCAAGGATGGCCTGAACACACACACACACACATACACACTTCAATTTTATAGCACTTTATGCAATGCAAAAACAGCTTCAATAGAGAACACAAATATCAAAACAGGTCTTTCTTCACAGTTCATAAGGCAAACCAAAGGCAACACACACATACAGCATACAACTGAAACTGCGCCTCACCTTAAAGTTATTGGGGTCATAGGTCAGAGCGTTTCCCAGATGCTCGAAAGCTTTCTGATACTTCCCAAACTAAATGAACAGAGACAGACAGCAGTGAACAAAAACTGCATTCACAGCACACAGGACTGATTACTGGACACTGAATGTGTTTCTCTGAGGACGCAGTGGAGTTTGCTCAGTGACACAGCATTATGGTGTAGTTGTCAGTATTTATGATGGATGTCTCAGAGCGTCTCTTACCTGCATGTACAGCAGTCCTAATGTGGTCAGCAGCTCTGTGTTCTCTGGAGAAAACCTGACACAAACACAATCAAAATAACCGAATTAGAAGAAATGTCATGTGTTCATTTAACTGTGCTGCTTTTATTTTTATGTATCCGCAATCCCCTCACAAGCCAGAGCTGTGGCAGTTGGCATTTCTGTGTGGAGTTTGCATGTTCTCCCCGTGTTGGCGTGGGTTTTCTCCAGTTTCCCTTACAGTCCAAACACATGTGCTATGGACAGGGCTGTCGCCAGATTCGCATATGCACAAAAATGTTTAGTGAGCCCCCCTAGTCATTAGTGGCTGGGGGCTTCCCGCCACAGGGCCCCTAAATCATATGCACTCTGCCCCCCTTTTCCCCCACTAGCTACACTAAATTGGCTGTAGTGTATAAGTTTGTGTGTGTGTGTGAATGAGTGTGTATAGGTATTTCCCAGTACTGAGTTGTGGCTGGAAGGACATCCACTGCTTAAAACATATGCTGGAATAGTTGGCGGTTCATGCTGCTGTGGCGACCCCTAATAAAAAAAAGACTAAGTCAAAGAAAAATTAATTGATGTATCCCTTAACAGAAGCTTTCTATATTTTGAGTAATATTATATTTTATTATTAAATCATACATATAAAAAATATTTATACATGCATAGTTAGTATTTTTATTATATATTTATTCTTTTTATATGTATTATTTATTTTAAGTCACATTTTATTTCATTATTAATCATATATATATATATATATATATATATATATATATATATATATATATATATATATATATATATATATATATATATATATATATATATATATATATATATATATATATATATATATAT